CGGTACACTTAGAAATGGTTCAGATGGTAAATTTTATACGTGTATTTTACCTCAATTAAAAAGATTGGAGGGGCTGGCCTGGTGGTGGAGTGGTTAAGTTCGTGTGCTCCGCTACAGTGGCCTGGGTTTCGCAGGTTCAGATCCCAGGCGAGGACCGACATACTGCTTGTCAACCCATGCTGTGGCAGTGTCCCATATAAAGTGGAGGAGGATGGGCATGGAAGTTAGCCCAGGGCCATCTTCCTCAGCAAAAAAAGAGGAGGATTGGCAACGGATGTTAGCTCAGGGCTACTCTTCCTCACCAAAAAAAAAAAAAAAAAGTTTGGAAACTGCTAGTTTTGACAATAGTTAGCATTATATGCTTTATCCTGCATGTTTTCTATTAGGAATCAGGAATTGTATGTATTTGTTGAGAATCAATTGAAATGAAATTCTGTACTTATGATTAATAAATGCACATAAATATTAAAAAAAACAAACCAACTTCCTTGATCCTATATTCTCCTCCAGCTACCATTCTCTTTCCTGTCCCTCGTGGTCAATCAATGTTGATTAGAAGTGGTAGCAACTTTGTATTAGTTCATTCTTTCACCTGGTCCATCCTGCCTCCTTTACTGGGCACAGGGGCTCCCGGAAGGTGGGGTGCATGTCTTGAGACTCCTTTAGGTCCCCGGTCTCAGCACAGCACCATGCCTACTGCAGGTGCTCCCATCTTTGATTAATACCCTTGACTGGGTGAAATCTTCTATTTTCAACACATTTCCTCATATTCTTTCCTTACAACAAATATTTACTGAGTTGTGGTGGAAGATGAATGAAATATAATGTGTGTCTTCAAGGAGCTTAAAATCTAATTGTACTTACTTCTTCCCCTGCCACCCCACCTCTACCATTTTCAAGAAGGATTCAATGTAGTTCTAACCTAAGAAGAAGGAGTAAGTTTGTATGTAAGTAACTGTAGAGGTGCTAAGAGTGAAAAAAAGCGCTAGGGCATCCAATGCCCTCCACTCCACAATGCACTTTGCATATTTCTTATGGACATGGCAGGTTTTCTGTGGGAAAATAGCAGGAGATTAGCGTGGAATGATGGGTTGGGGCAGCCGAGTGGAATGTGTTGAATGCTGAAAGAGCATGACTTATTACAGAGGCTGGTGGAAAGCAGAGGACTGATCAGAACCGGGTTTTAAGATGTTAACCTGGCAGCTCTATGGACCTGGAGAAGGAGCTCACTAGGGACAAAGAGCAGTAAGGAGCCTGTTACGGACGCACAGATAAGAAGTAATGAGAGGTTGCTCAGGTGGTGGCAAAAGACAGAACATGAGAATGGCACTGTGGAGGAAAAAAAACAGTGTACCTTGGTAATTAAAGGTAACTGAATGCAGGGGAGATGTCAAAGCTAACTGTAATAGGCCTTGTCATTAACACAAATAGGAAATATGGAGTGGTGTGGGGGAAGAAAATGATGAATTTTGCCTTGGATATTGTATTAATTATGTATTGCTGTGTAACAACTTTTCAGAGAATTTAGCAGTGTAAAGCAGCAAGCATGTATTATCCCACACAGTTTCTGAGAGTCAGGAATCCAAGAGCAGCTCAGCTGGAAGGTTCCAGCTTCCGTCCTCTCATGAGGTTGCAGTCAAAATGTCCGCCAGGGCTATAGCCATCTGAGGGCTTGACTGGGGTAGAAGAATCTGCTTCCAAAATATCTCACTCCCATAGCTTTCTCTGGAGGCTGTAGTTCTTTGCTGGCCATCAGCAGGAGGCCTCTAATAAGGCTGCTTGAGTGTCCTCACAATGTGGCAGCTAATTTCCCTGGAGCGAGTGATCCAAGAGAGTAGGCCAGAAAGAGGCTACAGTGTCTTTTATGACCTAGTCATGGAAGTCACATACCCTCCCTTCTGCCATAATTTATTCATTAGGAGTGAGTCACTACATCTAGCCCATACTCAAGGGAGAGGTTAGGCTCCACCTTTTGAAGGGAAGCGTGTTGAAGAATTTGTGGAGATATTTTAAAACCACCATAGACATATTGTGTTTTGAGGACAAATGGAGTGAACACCTAATGAAAATGTCAGGAGGAAGGAATTGGGGGCTTTAGAGAGCCAAGTTGCCGCATATGGAAATAGGTGACAGCTGAAGCTGAAAATGCTGGAGATGGAGAACTTCTCAAGGCGGGTTCTTTCCTTAATGGTCTCTCTTAACCAGTCTCATTATTAATGGTCATTGTTCCTTTTTCCAGATTATATTATTCCAGTTATTTTAACCTTTTTTAAAAAGCTTTCCATTTTTAATTTCTTGTATTATTTTGTATTTTTTCTCCAAAGCTTCTTATCATGAAAAATTTCAATCTTACAGGAGAGTTGAAAGCAGGTGTAACAAATGTCCATATGGCCACCATCTAGATTCAGTAAATGTTAACAGTGGACTTGTTAATCTATTTCTCTATCTATGTATCTATCTAATCTATCCATCCAAATCTTGTGTGTGTGTGTGTGTGTGTGTGTGTGTGTGTGTGTGTGTGTGAGGAAGATCAGCCCTGAGCCAATCCTCCTCTTTTTGCTGAGGGAGACCGGCCCTAAGCTAACATCTATTGCCAATCCTCCTCCTTTTTTTCCCTTTTTCTCACCAAAACCCCAGTAGATAGTTGTGTCATAGTTGCACATCCATCTAGTTGCTGTATGTGGGACGCGGCCTCAGCATGGCCGGAGAAGCAGCGCATTGGTGCGCGCCCGGGATCCGAACCCGGGTCGCCAGTGGCAGAGCGCACGCACTTAACCACTAAGCCACGGGGCCGGCCCCCATCCAAATTTTTTTTTCTGAACTATTTATTAGGTGGCATTCTTTTGTAAAGAAAGATTTCCCCTTGACCTTGGGATAAACTACAGATCCTCTTAAAAAGGCAGGGTACAGGGGAAATACTTTTCCCTTAATTACTAATTTTCAGAATGAGGAATTGTTGTAACAATCACGTACAATGGTAGTAAATGATTCTTTTTCTTTCTCTTTTTCTATCACTATGGATTCAGAGTCCAAAGGGTAAGAGCATGTCATTTTGCCGAATACCCATGGAGGTTGTGTCATTTTGCACCCCCACCAGCAATGTAGGAGAGAGTCCCTGTTTTTCCACAGCCTCACCAAGAGAGCCAAACATTTGAATTTTTGCCAAATGTGATAGTGAGAAATAGTATCTTGGTGTAGTTTTAATTTGTATCTCTCTTATGAACGAGGTTGAACATCTTTTTGTTTTTTAAGAGCCATTTTTTTCCTTTTTCTGTCTGTCTTTTGCCTATTTTTCTAATGAATTTTTGGCCTTTTTTCATCTTAATTTAAGAGTTCTCTCTATATACTAGGGATATTAGCCCCTTATTTCTAATATAAATTGAGAGTATTTATTTCCAGTTTGTCATTAGACTTTTGACTTTGCTTGTGGTAATTTTATGATATGCAAAGATTTATGTACTGAATTTATTGGTCACTTTTTTATTGCATCTGGATTTTGAGCCATAGTTGAGAAGGTTTTCCCTGCACTCATGTTACAAAGGTGTTTACCTAGGTTTGCTTATAGTACCTGTGCAGTCCCCTACCCCTTCCTGTCTCTTTTCTCTCCTTCTCCTACCCTCCCTCCCCTCCCCTTCCCTCTCCATCCTCCTTCCATTTCTCCTTTAACATTTGGATCTCTGAACAATGTGGAGTTTATTCCGGTGTATGTTTGTTTTCCAATGGCAATTCTGTTGTCCAGTGTTTTCCCAGTGATTTGAGATACTACCTTTATCATTTACCACATTTCCAAAAAATTTGAATTTGCTATTTTGGGATTTTCTATTCTGTTTAGAGTCTAGGTCCAATCAGAAGATAGAAACTACACAGTAGTTAAACAGGGCAAGTTTAATATAAAGAATTACTAACTATGATAAGAGACTAAGTATAAGATATGAGGAAACTATATGGCACCCTAGAGCCCAGGGAGAGTACCCAAGGAAGGACAAAGTGGAAGGGGTTCAAACTTCATTTGAGAAGGTGGTTCCGCCACTAACTAGCAGAGACGTTCACTGGTTTAGCCAGGCCGGAGCTGGTCTGGGATTGCAGGTGGGGAGCGGGCGATCAGCAACTGGTGGTGTAGACATGCCCTTGAGTCCAGGTGCTCGTGGGTGCAGAAGGCCTTTAGAGCCTGCAGGAGGCTTGTTTGAGGAACGAATTCGCTGTGACTCCTCGGGCCAGTCTGGACACAGGTGGCTGCGGAAAGGTTATGGCCAAGCTGAGGTCGCACTGCTGCAGTGGGACCTCATTCTGGACTCGTGGCTGGGCCAGGCGCCACTGGGTGTTCTCCACCCACAGAGCCATCCTCTGCTGGTGCCAGAAATCACAGCAGCCTCTTCCTCCTGCAGTATCCCTGCAGTGCCCTCTACTGAGAGAAAGTTAGGCATGGTGCTCACTTGAAAAGCTTCAAGGAATTCCATTATCATAGAGCATATATTGAAGGGTGTATTTGAAGCTGAGAGGCAATAAATTGATAACTGACACAGTTACATTGGCCTGTTTATTCCTTGTTTTTTATTATTGGCAATTCATAGTGTATTTGAATATCTGTTAATGCTAGCCCTGCTCATTGATCTGCTCTTTCAGGGTTTTCCTGGTTATTCTGGTTTACTTTTCCACAAGAACTTTAAAATAAACTTATCTAGTCCCAGAAAAAAAAATGTTGGCATTTTTATTTAATCTTGTGTTTTTTAATTTTAAAAAGCATTTTGTAATAAATTCTCATGGTAAAAAATATTCTTGTGGTTAACAACAAGGAAAGCAATAAAGAAGGGAATGAAGTAGGAAATGAGAGATCCATGCCTTATATTCGCACCTTCTGATGTTAATATTTTCATGCATATCATTCAAGATGTATTGCTAAGCTCATACGAGTGTGTGTGTGTCAAATAAAAATGTTTGAACGCTTTTAACAGTTATGCCTGTAGCTCTAACTTAGAAATGTCTTTTGTTTTTCTTTACAGCCATTATACCTGCCCATGAGACTTTGAGAACATTATAATGTCCCTTTGTGCTGCTTCTCACAAGGAGTTTTCTCAGCTGTTACCTAGTCAAGACATGGATATCAAAAACTCACCATCTAGCCTTAACTCTCCCGCCTCCTATAGCTGCAGTCAGTCCATCCTACCCCTGGAGCACGGCCCCATCTATATACCTTCCTCCTATGTAGAGAGCCACCATGAATATTCGGCCATGACCTTCTATAGCCCTGCTGTGATGAATTACAGTATTCCCAGCAGTGCCAATAACTCGGAAGGTGGGCCGGGTCGGCAGACCACAAGCCCAAATGTGTTGTGGCCAGCTCCTGGACATCTTTCTCCTTTAGCAATCCATTGCCAGTCGTCACTTCTGTGTGCAGAACCTCAGAAGAGTCCTTGGTGTGAAGCACGGTCACTAGAACATGCCTTACCTGTAAACAGGTAAATCCAGCCTTCATTCTGAGTTGTAGTTCATGGGCATTGTTCAAGTCACTTTATGATTTAGTGAGAAGAAAGATATGCATTATCCAAGTGACTATCTTTATTAGTCACATGGATTACTTAGAGCACCTAAAACATATGATATTCTGAATTCTAGAATACCTATTCTGATATTCTAGTCCTTATTAAAAAGTTGAGCTTGTAGATCTGTGTTGTGGGTAGAATTCAATATCATGACTACTGTCTTTAAACAATATTGAACTTAAATCACTTTTCTCTTGATGAAGTGATTTGGGTTTGAAAAAAATTTTTATTTGACTTTCAAGTGAGATCCTTCGTATCTTGTAGTGAAATCACAATTTAGTCTTCATGACAAATTGTGTCCGGGATGAGAGTAACTGGTGGTATTACAACTTAAATGCAATACTAGACACGTGACGCCTGAAAAGACAGACAGCAATCAGTACAAGCTTTTTAACAATGAACTAAAATAATAACGATGGGAAACTATTTAAATGTAGACTAGCTGAAATTTCTTGAAGCTAAAAAGAATATTTGTACTCTTTAAGTGCAAGGTAACATGATGGGTTATTTCCATTTAATTTGTAATATATATATATTTTTTTTGTGAGGAAGATCAGCCCTGAGCTAACATCTGCCGATCCTCCTCTTTTTGCTGAGGAAGACCGGCCCTGGGCTAACATCCATTCCCATCTTCCTCCACTTTATACGGGATGCCGCCACAGCATGGCTTGATAAGTGGTGCGTCGGTGCGCGCCCGGGATCCGAAATGGCGAACCCCGGGCCACCGCAGCAGAGCGCACACACTTAACTGCTTGTGCCACCGGGCCGGCCCCAATTTGTAATATTTTTAACGATACTTATGGCTATGGAGGGAAGAGGTGGTGTAGAGAGAAGGAGGAGGGGGAGATAAATTTCTAAAACAACCCAAGTACTGAGTTACAGCATATTGGATATTGAAATTAATTACTTTTAAATGCTATCATGAAACTTTGAGAAAGCCATATTACATAGTAATTTTATTTTTCTTCTCTTTAAAAAACTGTTTGTTGGTAAAAGAGAATACAAAAATTGTAGATAATTTTTTTAAAGTAATGTTTTTCTTTCAGTCTTTAAAGGAAGAAATATTTTGTTTCTGAGCATGAGTTCTGATCTGAGTTCCGCTAATATTTGCATAAATCAGACCATAGTATAATTACCTTCATTTATAAATCGATCATATGTCTACCATTTCCTTTCCAAGAGAAACATGCCCTAGCAAAATAGTGAACTAGCCAGGTGTGTTTTGGTGCCTGCCAGTGCTCCCTTGATGGGCCGTCCTTGCCTCTGTGAGACCCTTGCCCGTCCACCCAGCATTGAGCGCTTCCTTCCTTCTCTGAGGACAGGCCCATGTTCTCTCTCCCGCTCTCTTCTCTCTTCTTTCTTTCTCACCTCATCCCGTCCCTACCCTGCCCTTCTCTTTCTCTCTCTTCCCTTCCCTATCCTTCCTTACCCTTCCCTTTGCTTTCTCTCCCTTCCCTACTCTTCCCCACTCTTCCTTGCCCTACCCTTCCCTTCCCTCTCTTTCTCTTCCTTCTTTTCCTTTCTCTTTTTTTCTGTTTCTTTTCCTCTAAACCAGAGTATAGTATTCACCTTAATATAACTTAAAGTCCACTTGTTACTCCTCTTAAAGTTATTTTAATTCTAGACCTTTATCTTAAATTGAAAAATGAAAGATTTTTGTCCCCCATTTAGATAGGAACTCTGACGGGCTATTTAGGGACAGTGTTTGGAATGACTGATACCTGAAAATGGTTGGGTGAATTTAGGCCCATCCATGCAGTGTTGATGAACTTTGGTAACTACAGAAGGTCACTGCACACCTGCTTGTGGTTCAGGCCTGTGGGTAAGACTCGATGTGGTCATTTATTACACTCAGAGATGTGCACCCCGATGGCTATAGCTGGCCATCCATATTTACTAGTGCTCATCAGCACTGCATGGATGGGCCTAAACTCGCCTAACCACTTTCAGACATCAGTCATTCCCGACAGTGTGACTCTTCGTAGATCTGATATCAGTAACAAGGGTTTGCTTGATCAGATTTCCTGGGATATATTTATCATGAAACTTGGAGGGCAAAGAGATAAATTAGGCAATGTTCATGCTGGCTTTTTTTCTAGAGTCCTTTTCCCCTTAATGCTCTTTTACAGCGAATGTCTTCTTTGCCCCTAGAGAGACACTGGAAAGGAAGGTTAGTGGGAGCAGTTGTGCCAGCCCTGTTACTAGTCCAAGTTCAAAGAGGGACGCCCACTTCTGTGCGGTCTGCAGTGATTATGCATCAGGATATCACTATGGAGTCTGGTCGTGTGAAGGATGTAAGGCCTTTTTTAAAAGAAGCATTCAAGGTACAAGAGTAATTGTTAGCTGCTTCTTTAGTTTTCCACTTTTGCTTTCAAGTAATTTTGCAAATGACCTGGGATAAATTTCACTATTGGCCTGTTTGGTACAAAGTACTTGAGGAGCAATTCAGAGGTTTGCGTGTGTTTGGGGTTGGTGTGGATTTTTTCAAATATGGAGAACTTTATCTTTAATTGCAGATCTCTACCCCGAAACCCCAGAACTTGAATAGGTCTCGCCCCACCATCACCCATCACCACCTTCTCGGGAGAAGATGTCTATTGACAACCCTTATGAAAATAAAGCTTGAAAAAATGTGCACTCATTAGGAATTGTAAACCTCGTTTCTTCCTTTGAATTATGTATAATATCTGATATGCATAGCAGTCATGATGGTGGGCTGGCTCCTGATAGACTCCAGAGGGTGGGGAGGGGTGGAACGTTAATAGATAAAGAGCCACCTTCCCTTGGATCCCCTGAAATTCACCTGTTTGTCCTGGATCTTCCATTTTGTAGCTCTATGACTTTACTTCCCTGCCTGTTTCCTCCTCTGTGAAATGGAGATCCAGAGTTGTTCGAAAAATGAAATGAGGTTTATTCATTTGGGTTGTTTCCAGTTTTGTGCTATTTTGAATAAAACTGCTATGAACATTCCTGCATATCTCTCTCTGTAGACATATGTTTTTGTTTCTCTTGGGTAAATACCTAGGAGTAAAATTGCTGGTTAAATGATAAGCATATGTTTAACTTTATAAGCAACTAACAAACTGTTTTCCAAAGTGGTTGAACCATTGTGCATCTCAGCATCAATGTATGAGAGTTCCAGTTGCTCCACATCCTTGTCAAAACTTGATATTTTTAATTTTAGCCATTCTATTGGGTATATAGTTGTATCTCATTGTGGTTTTAATTTGCATTTCCCTGATTACTGATGATTTTGAGCATATTTTCATTGATATTTTTCTTTCTACATATGATATAAATTTCTTATATATACTGGTGTTTTATTCTGACTGTTCTCTTGATCTATCTCTTCATTCTTGTATAAGTACCACATTATTTTAACTATTATAGTTTTATAGTGCATTTTAATACGTGCTAATATAAATACCTCCTATTTTAAAAATGTCCTGACTATTTTCTCTTGTTTATTTGTCCATAGGAACATTAGAATAATTTTATTAAGTGGTCTCCCATCCTTAATGTTAAGAAAAGTGAAGATTTCGTTAAACCTAAGAATTATTTTAGAAGGAATATTTGTAATAGTCTTCACATCAAGAAACAAGTTATGGTTCCATTTATTTAGGTCTTTTATATCTCTTATAAAGTTTTGTTAGTTTTTTAAATATGTATCTGGCACATTTCTCAATGATATTTCCATAAATTTCATTCTTTTGGCTATGTATTTTATATCCATATATATTAGTAATTATTATTTTCTACTCTACTATTCACTTTCATTTTGGTATTCATAATAATCTTTTATCATTGTCCTTTAGAAGTTAAAATCTATTTGCTGCTCATGAATCTTCAACTCTTTGTTTCTTAAGTCTTTAGAGGCTGAGCTGTAAGTGGGAAGCTCCAACAGCCCATAGGTCACGTAAAAGATTCTTACCTGGGAGGCATATATTCTGTTACCTGGGACTCATTTGGCCTTGAACCCAAGAAGAATGTCTTGGGGAACAAAACACAAGGTAGATGCCTGCTGTTGAGGTCTGAGTGCCAGGGAGGGTGTGGATAACAAACATTGCTCTACTTTTAAAATAAGAAAACTGGAAGTCTGAGCTAAGATTAAACTCAGATCTTCTGATTCCAAGTCTGATACTGTCTCTTCCCTCCATTCAGTTGGATATGAATGATGATAGATATTCAGACACACTCAATAATTTTGCAGAGAGAACAAAAATATCCTTTTATGTTTTATATTATAAAAAGTACATTTTCCTATGAAGGTTTATATTTTAACTAAAAGAATTAGCTACATATTTTTCTTTTAATTTTGCTTTGGACTTTTCTCTCAGTTCTGTTAGTATGCTGTAGCATGCTTCTCAGGTTGTTGCATAGAACAAGGAAACCATTTAATACCTGAGGTACTTTGTCCAGTTTGAGGAAGACTTTTTTCTTTTTGCCAGAAGTGAAGCGAATTACCATGACCTTCGTGCATAAGACATTTTCTAGGCTATTGAGCATGTTCACATTATTGTGCTTTCTGATCCTTTTTCTAAAATTAAAATGATCTTTTAAAATAAACTCTGAGAAAAAATGAAAGTGAACCTCCAGTTGTTCCTTAAATGCTTATTGTTATAAACCTCTTTATGAAACCAATAAGGATGTCATCATGTATAGTTCTTGGAATTTTTAGAAAGTACTTAAAAGATTGCTACTGCTTTGGAAAATACTGTGGGATTACATTTATCTTCTAACTATAAAGCATTATGTTCTGAACTACAATAGAAATTTTCTGATTATGAATATATTTAGGCTTTTACAAATATAATTTATTTTTGAATATTATAAATGAGCATAAAAGCAATTATAAGAAAATTATCTGTTGCTTAAAATATATTTATAACATACCTTGTATTACCCCCTACTCTTGAGTGTGTGTGGAACCTGTAAATATGAGAGAGTCGCTCCCTTGGTTAGGTTACAATATATGTCAAATGGTCATGGGATAGTCTCTCATGATTATGCTGTGATTGTGTAAGACTCCATCATAGGAGCCTGGGGAGAGACCGGAAGTCAGAGAGCTGTGTTCCTCCTGGCCTGGAAGAAAGCAAACATCATGATGTGAAGTGCCTCTGGCAAGGAACTGCTGGTGCCTCCAGGAACTGAGAGTGGTGTCCAGCCGATAGCCAACAGGAAAATGGGAACCTCAGTCCTACAACTGCACGGAAATGATTCTGCCAACAACTTGAATGAGCTTGGAAGAGGACCCAGGCTTCAGATGAGACCACAGCCCAGTCGACACCTTGGTTACAGCCTCGTGAGACCCTGAGCAGAGCCCCCAGCTAAGCTGTGCCTGTACTCTTGACTCACAGAAACTATGAGATAATAAATCTGTTTGGTTTTAAGCTTATAAGTCTGTAGATATTTATTATGCAGCAGAGAAAACTCAAACAATAACTTTCAGGAGATTATTGAACTGAACTTAAGTGTTTCCATTTGTAAAATGGGGATCTTAGCTCTTTATAGGGAAATTATACAATTAAATGAAAGGTTGATGAAAAGTATCTGGAAATCAGTAGGTAGTCAGAAATGTTGGTGTGTCAGACTGGGCAGGCATTACTTCCTATACGTGACCACTGCCGAGGTCACCTGAGAGAGTGGTTTTTGCATCTCTGGGGGAGGTGTCTTACTAGCCCAGAACTGCACATTTGCTGGTTCCCCAGGCTGACTCAGGGCATGGTGGTAAAGCCACAAACAACTGAATTTCAATTTGTGTTTTGTTGAACAAATGTTACTGGAATCTACCTAAAGTGGAAGAGAATTATAAAATCTGATTATGGTCCAGTCATGGAACCATGTTTTTTTGGGAATGTTCTTTAAAATCTGATGAGTTAGAAAAAGAAAAGTTAATTTCAGGACTTAAAACAATAACGTTTTAAATACAGATTAATTTCAATTTTCTGTATTTGACTATTTATTTGTATGCATCTGTATTTGTGTGAATTAACAGTTTTTTTTTTGAGAAGCTAATGGAAGCATTTTTTTGTTGTTGAGTCTCAAACTTACAGAACATGTGCATACAATATAAAGAACCTTTTTTCCTGGAATCATGAGTTGCCAACGTGATGCCCCATCACCCCCAAATACTTTGACATGTATTTCCTATATTGGTCAAAATCGGGAAATTAGCATTGATACGTTACTAGCATCTAATCCACAGACTCCGTCAAGTTTCGCCAGTCGTCCCAATGGTGCCCTCTACAGTAAAGGATTCAGTTCAGAATCACACTTTGCATTTAGTTGTTATGTCTTTACCCTCCCTCCGTCTGTCCAGCACAGTTCTCAACACTTTTGAACCTTATCGCCCAGTTATTTGCAGAATGCCTCTTGCTTTGTGTTTGTCTGATGTTCCCTCATCGTTAGATTCAGCTTACACGTTATTGACAAGAAGATCACAGAAATGATGCTATGTTCTTCTCACCAGCTCCTTCCACATGGTGCCTAATTTCAATTTGTCCCATTACTAGTGAGATGCACTTTGATTATTTGGTTAAAGTGATCTCTGCCAAGTTTCCACTCTTTCTTTTTTCCTTTGTAATTAATATTTTTATTGAGAGATCCTTTGAGATTATGTAAATATCCCATTCCTCATTAAACCTTCAATTAATTTATTTCAGTATAACATATGGTTTCCTATTTTCTACAATTGGTTGCTGTCTATTACTATCATTATTTATTTGGGCGTCCAAATTATCCCAGATTTGGCCAGTAGGATCCTCTTAAACTAGCTTCTGTGTCTTTTTTGACATGCACCCATAAGTCTTTGGGCGCTTCTTTACTTGCTGGCACAATAAGGTGTTTCAGGCTCAATTTAAACTTTCTCTGCCCCAGTCCTGGAATAAGATGTTTCTCTAAAGAGCCCTGTTTCCTTTTGGTGGAGAATAATAGTTATAAACCAAGATCTGGGTGCTAGTTTGCTCATTGCTCACGGGATGTCCCTGCTCCCAGGCTCTCTCAGGGGGCAGAGTTGAGGAATATATTTATTTCAATATATATATAATTTAAAGAATAATTTTAAAGTTTAAAATTGTTTAAAGAATAATTTATAAAGAATAGTTATAAAGAAAACCCGTGTGTAACTAGTGCTCAAGCCATGAAATAGGATATCTCCGGAGCCCTAAGTTCCCTCTGAGTGGTCCTTCCATCCTCAGCTCCTTCCCTCCCTACAGAGGTGAGACAGTCCTAATTTCCACCTTCCCTGCCAAGGTTTGGCCACTTAAGCATGCATCCCTAAACAATATAGTTTCGTTTTCTCTGCTTTTGAACTTTACACAAATGGAATCTTCTTTTTTATGTTCTTTTGTGATTTGTTTCTTTTATGACTTGCTCATTTACTTTATCATTTAGAGTTATCCATTTCCCACATTGAAATTCTGACCCATTATAGATTTACTGTAAGAAGTTCAGGCCATATTGTTTACTAGAAAGACACAATTAATAAAGGCACAAAATACTCTATTCACTTTCACTTTCCATCTGTTTTATTATAATTTCTGTTTCCTAAAGCTCTTAGATCCATGTAGCTCTCTTCATCCTCCCTACCATTACCCAATCCAGAAAGCCTCATCTCTGGTTTGCATGACTACAGCAGGTTCTTACCTGGTCTCCTGGCCTCCGTTCTCCATACAGCATCTGAAATAATAATTTTTGAAATGGAAATTTTCTCATCTCTTCCTTATATATAAGAATTAAAAGAAGTACCACTGTCTTAGAGATTCCTGTATAACTAATGTCTTACCACAATGAGCATTAATTTTCTTAATTATGGGTCTATGATTATTGGTTAGGGTGGCTTTACTTCCTAAGTCTTGGCTCTGGGCTTTGGGTTGAGTTCAGGTCTGCTCCACATGTCTCCACATTCTGCTTGGACCAGTGGCTGCCTGAGGCATTTTCTCATGGGAGCTCAAGAGGCCAAGCCAGACTCTTGGAGTATCACATCTACTAACACGCCATTGGCTAGCGCGAGTCTCCTGGCCAAGCCCAACATCAGTTGGCGGAGAGTATACTCTGCCAGCTCTAGGACACGGCAAGAACGCAAGGCTGTGGGAGAGAGTGAAGAATTGAGAACAATAATCGAATCCACCACAACTGTTGTCAAGTAGCAGTTCTTTCTGTTCTTATTTAGTTTGCTAATTTCTTTGTTCTCTTATTGACTAGTTTAGTTCTCTTATTTGACTATGATTTCCCATAAAAACATCATGTTAAGTCCCAAAAAGGGATAGATGTAGAAGAATATAAGTAGTCAACTTTGGTGACCTGATACACAAGTACAACTCTTGAGGAGTTCTGTGATTTGGAGCAAATCAATTTCAGGTGACTGTCTCACTTTTCATGTTCAAAGGAGAATATTTCTAAATGTATCCCTTGAGAATTCTAAAAACATGCAGAGAATAACCTATTAGTCGAAAAGTAGGCTACTGAAATATTCCTATACTCACTAACAAGGCACCGATGAGGCTGAACTTTGGCCTTTGTACCATTACCTGTTTTAAAAAGATGTCCCCCTCTCTCAGCGGGGTAGTGTTATCAGTGCTGTTGACCAAGAAGATATTGAACCAAAATATTGTAACAGTAAACTTCCTTTTTTTGCTCTGCTGTAGGACATAATGATTATGTTTGTCCAGCTACAAATCAGTGTACGATAGATAAGAACCGGCGCAAAAGCTGCCAGGCCTGCCGACTTCGGAAGTGCCATGAAGTCGGAATGGTCAAGTGTGGTGAGTGTTCACTTCCCCTTTTGTTGGATGTGGGACATGCTGAAAGCTTTGTCAAACTGAGGACAGTTTGAGGAACTGGGGACACGTAGCCTGGATGAGCAGAGATTTAGGACTTGGTAGTTATCTTCAAGTAGTTGTATGCTGCCAGATTGGAGGGAATGCAGAGGACAGAGCTGGGGTGAATGGGAGCAAGTTATAGGAGGCAGATTTTGGCCCAATATAGGGAAAAACTTTCTACAATACAAGTGATCTGACAGCAGAATAGGCTGTCACATGAATTAGGGAACTCTAGCCACTGAAGTGCTCAAACTGGCTGGATGACTGTCTGCCTGAGTCCTTGAAAAGTCTAGGGATGAAGTTCTGGTAAATGTTCACTGTTACCTCCATTAGCTTTCTAGAAGTGGAGAAAATATATAGAGGAGTCAGAAACATGACAGAACTATGGAAAATACATAGATCATAGATTTTGTTCTATGACAGTATGTATGTGTACATATATGTGTATAAATATATATGTGTGTGTGTATCCACACACACATGAAAAAATAAAGGACAATGAACATGTTAGTATAACAACTGACAACGATGCCTACAGCCTGCTCCACCTGCTGACTTTCGATTCGCTTGTCTGTACACGCTTGCTTGTTTATGTGCACTCATATCAGCTCTGCCTGTACTTCCCTTATTCTTCTGCTAGCCGATATTTTGCCTGTGGTTAGTTGTAGTTTCTCTCTTTGTAACTATTTGAAAAATTTAAAACAATTTAAATTTAAATTTAAAAAAATTTAAAACAAAAGTCTCACTCTTTTTTCCCTGACAATCTCTTCGTAGCTCTGCGTCTTGAGCATTCTCTGTCCTTTTCTTTTTCTCTGTATGGACAATAGATTAGATCCCTCACCTAGTTCAGAACTACCGCAGAAGTTCTCTGAATCTGATCACAGTTCCCTGGACTCCTAGAATCACTGATGTTCTCCATTTCCTCTCTAAAGCATCCTGCCAGTACCCGGGACCTCCCAGGGTGTATTGGTTACTCCCTAACACATTTGACTGTTTCTGCTCCCACCACTTCAGTTACGTCCTTATCAGTAACCAGTGGGCTTCTTCCCAAACCTGTTTCTACTCATTGTAGTTGTAAAATTATATAACTTAATTAAAATTTATGCAAAAATATGAAATACGAGTAGGAAAAGATAGTTGTTTCTGTGAAAGCTTTGAATAAAACTGTAAAGGACTAGTAGCTATTGACTTAGGTATGGGTGAGATTGGGGGGAAAAATCGTAAACCTAGAAAGATTCTAAATTCAGATTGCTTTATGAGTGCTTAAGTCCTTGCTCTGTTTTAAAGAAGCTGAAACTGAAAATCCAGAGACAATGTATCATGGCTATGTTTTATGCAGGAAAGTAACTTGTGATTTAATTGGCAGAGGTGCTTAAAGAGAAAGCCTTGGCCCTCTGACAAAAGATTGCAAATTAATGTCTCATGTTTTAAGTTAAACAGTATTTTAAGGTGAGTGTATATTTTTTTAAAAATGACTTCCAATTTGGTCTTAGGATAAGCATGATTTTATTGAACGCACTAGGGTCTGCTGATTGCCTGTAGCTCTCCTAGTTCAGACCCGGGCCAGCAGCACATGTACGCTCAGCCTGTAGGGGGCAGTGTAAGCGGTGGGAAGAACGGGAGGACAGGACTCCGTAGTCTGAAGCTCATGTTGTGTCTCATCACTTTTTGCTAGCTGTGACTATGCTCAAACGACACAACCTTTCCGGCATTCAGTTTTCTTATCTCTGAAACGGAGATATCTGCTTCCTTGAGTTTATGAGCAATACGTATGAAAACATATAGCACAGTGTCCAGCACTAAATTTTGGTTTGCCTTACATTCACTCTCCCTCACCGAAAACCTTATAAAAGTTATGAGTTTTGATAGAATACAGTCTCATGAGGCAGAGTACAGAGATGTAGTTAAAAAAATCTTTCATGGAAAAGAGAATGAGAGAAAAGGTCATTGAATTTGGCCAAAAAGTCCCTGGTTAGAGCTCTCTAAGCAAAAAATATTTTATTATCTTTGGAGATTACAGAAGAAATGAAATGGGTTGATGTGCAAACAGTTGGATATTTAGCCCTTCACTGACCACAAAGACCATTAGGAGTGAATTTTCTTAACTATGCCTCTCTCCTTCCCTAGCACTCTTCTCGTCTCCCCTCCCCCAAAACTCTCTATCCACGTTCTTCCTTCTGTCCAGTCTTGGAGGATTAGGGATTCTACCTGCATTCTGGATCCTCCTGTACGATTTTATTTCCCCTTTTTATTCAGAAATCATGTCTCTTCTGCTATCACCTTTTTCTTCTGTGTTTCCAATCTTGTCTTTTCTATGAAGGTATTAATATGATTGTTTAAATGGTAGGAAAATACCCACCCAGAATAACATCAGGGATAAGCCTTCATTATAAGGATACACTGAAATGTAAATACGCAAGAAAACAATCTGAATAGCCATATATTTGATCTATATCCCTATCTCTCAAATGCCATCTCTTTATTCACCTGCTGTATATACACGTGAAAGGGATTTGATGGGGAGGTGATATAAAAATAGTGATTAAAAGATAGTGGTTAAAAGCACTAACTCTGGATTCAGACTATTGATGGGGTTTAGATCCTGCTTCTGCTATTTGCTGGCTTTTCTACCTTGGGGAAGTTATTTGAGCTCTCTTGTGCCTGGTTCCTCACCTGTGTGTTGGAAATAGTAATAGTACCTGTCCTCTAGGGTGGTTGTCAGAATGAGATAATCTATGTATAACACACAATGTCTGACACATAGAAGCTTCCAGTAGATGTTAGCTGCCATTATTATCATTTCCCATTATCGTCGTTGTCATCATCATCATCATCGTCTTTTCTCTGGGATACTTTCTAATATGGATCACTCCTATTTGGTAGAGTCTCCCATTAAGCTCGCTCATAGGCACACTGAATGACTCAGCCTAGATTACAGTGTCAAAGCCATGACACTAGAAACGTCCTTGGTAGAAAAATGTGAGTTCCTTGTCAAGGGCTTTATTTTATTGATCCTAGAATCCCCAGAACCTAGTATAGGGCCTGACATAGGACTTTGTCAGTGAAAGTTGGTCAAATAAATTTGAATGTATGGGTTCAAAATCTTTCACTTTGTATATAAACCTATTTTGTAAACTCCTTATCTTCGTATACTCTACGAAAGAGAAATGTGTGATCAGAAAGATACTTTCTTGGGCCGGCCCTGTGGCTTAGCGGTTAAGTGCCCGCGCTCCGCTGCTGGCGGCCCGGGCCCGGATCCCAGGCGCGCACCGACGCACCGCTTCTCCGGCAATGCTGAGGCCACGTCCCACATACAGCAACTAGAAGGATGTGCAGCTATGACATACAACTATCTACTGGGTCTGTAAATAAACAAATAAAAATTAAAAAAAAAAAAGATACTTTCTTAAACCATATATTTTGTTCCATTTTATCTTGGGGTATAATCGATCTTAAATAACATCTATAACACTCTGATTACTAATAAAGAAAATTGTATTTTAGGCTTTTAATTATTTTAGTAAAAAATTTGATTCAGTTATCCCTAGATAGGTAGACCCCTTCCTTCTACTGCAATTAGCCAAGGATAAGGGGAAATTCAGATAAATTTTCTTGGGAGCAAAATAATTTAAATTTGCTCATTCCTCCTAACTAATATTTCTTCTTAAAAATGCAGACAATTGCATTTAGTGAGCAAACATAATGGTGGGAGTATGAAAACTAGGCATTTTGCAGATTTTAACTTTTAGATTTTTTTTAGGGAAAATTCATATAAAAGTTGTACCTATGTTAATGACATCTTGACTTAAAACATGTCTTTCTTAGTTTTCATTTTACTTTTTTTTCTAACGAATAGATATCTAGAAATATTTTTGTGCTCACATTTATAGGAGTTTTTTTTTTTTATGTGAGGGAGATCAGCCCTGAGCTAACATCTGTGCTAATCCTCCTCTTTTTTGCTGAGGAAGACTGGCTCTGAGCTAACATCTATTGCCAATTTTTTTTTTTTTTTTCCTTCCCCAAAGCCCCAGTAGATAGTTGTATGTCGTAGTTGCACATCTTTCTAGTTGCTGTATGTGGGACGCGGCCTCAGCACGGCCAGAGAAGCGGTGCGTCAGTGCGCACCCGGGATCCGAATCCGGGCCGCCAGTAGCAGAGCACGCGCACTTAACTGCTAAGCCACCAGGCTGGCCCATAGGAGTTTGGAAGTTATATTTTTGTTATTGATATATATTTTTATTTTATTGTGGTCAGAAAATATTATCTATATAATATCAGTTTTAGTTAAAATTTTATTCAGGATCCAGTATGTGATAATTTTTGCAAATTCCATGAGTTTTTATAGTTCAAGCTTGTTATTTGTGTGGTTCAAATGTTCTGTATTCTGACTTTTTCCCCATCTGTTTGCTCTGTGAGTTGCTGAGAGTGATACACTATTATAATGGGATATTTTAATGTATTTGTCAATTTCCTTTTTCTTTCAATCACTTTTAGTGTTGTTTGTATGCTGTGTTTTCTTATTGTTGTTTTGGTGTATATGAGTTTAGAATTATTTATCTTCCTTTTATAATCTATTGATGAGGCCTTAATAATGATTTTTGCCTTAAAGTTTATATTGTCTGAAATTGATAGAGTAATTCTACTTTATTTTGTTAATCTTTGCCTGTTATGTCTTTTTCTATTCCTTTACTTTCAGTTTTCGTGTATGTTAGATGTATTTCTTTCAACCAGTCTATGTCTAGATTAAAAAGTATGATCTCAGAGTTGCTCTTAATTGATGAATTTAGTCTGTTTGTGTTTATTGTGATCGCTGATATTTGGGTTCATTTCTATCATCTTGTGCTTTTAAAAAATTCATGTATTTTCTTTTATTCCCTTTTGGAGTTGATCACCAGAAAGTTTTCTTTTTCCTCTTCTGCTAGTTTAGAAGTCATACATTCTGTTTCAGTTCTTTTAGTGATAACATTTCTATTTTTAGCGTGTATTCTTGATTAATTTGAGAATTCAAGGGGCCAGCCCCATGGCTTAGTGGTTAAGTGAGTGCGCTCCACTATTGGCGGCCCAGGTTCAGATCCCGGGCACACACCGACACACTGCTTCTCTGGCCATGCTGAGGCAGCGTCCCACATATAGCAACTAGAAGGATGTGCAACTATGACATGGAACTATTTACTGGGGCTTTGGGGAAAAAAAGGAAGAGGATTGGCAATAGATGTTAGCTCAGGGCTGGTCTTCCTCAGCAAAAAGAGGAGGATGGACATGGATGTTAGCTCAGGGCAGATCTTCCTCACAAAAAAAAAAAAAAAAAAAAATTAAAGCCACTCTCTAATAGATGTCTCTCTTCCCAAATAAAGAATCTTAGAAAATTCTAGCCAAAATTATTATTCTCTCATCTTATGTGTTATTGTCTGGTATTTTGGTACCGCTTTGTTTCTGTACCTCCAAAAATTAATTATTATTTTATTCATTCAATGTTTTTCAGATTTACTCACATATTTACTAATTTCTTTTCTTACCAGTGCTTCTTGACTTTCATTGGTTCTTCAGTTTCATTTTTCTCCATCCCAAAGAACATAGTAGTTATTTCAAAGGGGCTGTGAGTGATATATCTTCTCAATCTTTGTTTAACTGAAAATGTCTTTAATTTATCCTCTCTATTGAATGATAGTTTAACTGGGAATATAATTCTAAATTGAAGATTTCTTCCCCCTTCACCATCTTAAAGACATTATCCCATTGTGTTCTGGTCCATAAACCTACAATAACTGAAATATTTTTGGTACCAGCACAGGAATAGAAAAATAGATCTATGAAACAGAGTAGAAAATCTGGAAGAAGATACTTTTATATACAATTATTTATTAAATGACAAGGCATTTTATAAAAATCAATGGGAAAAGCCTATTCAATAAATGGTATTGGGAAAATTGTACCTCCATTTGGAAAACATAACATGAACTATCAATATGCAGTGATACAAACATACATAAAATTCTAAATCGATTTGAACTACAAAAGTGCTTAAAGAAGATATAGGAGAATATTTGTATAATCTTGATGTGAAACAAAAGACAGATTTGACTATGTACTATATCTTCTTATGATAAAAGACACCATGAGCAAAGGTAAAAGATATATAATAAACAAGACAAATATTGTATATGACAAATGTTATATATTTTTACTATATAGAGCCTTTGTAGGTTATTAGGGGGGAAAAGGGCAAAAGAAACAAATAGGCAATATAGAAGTAAAAGAAATACAAAGGGCTAACATATTAATCAACCTTGCTAGTAATTAAAAAAAATACAAAGTAAAACAAGATTGTTTAGTCACCTGTCAGATTAGCAAAGATTAAAAATGATTGTTAATGTCCATGGTGTTATGAGAAAATAGGTAGCCCTTAAAGTATTGTTTAGATTATAAATTTTAAAATACTTTGGAGGGTAATCTATCAATATGTATCAAAATTTTAAATGTGTATATGCCTTGGTTCAGCAACTTGACATCTTTGAATTTATTATAAAGAAGTAATTAGATACATGTACAAAGATGCATTTCCATTGCAATATGTATACGAGCAAAGAAATTAGAACCAACATAGATTTCCATCAACAGGAGACATTTTAAATAAGAGGTGCTATATTCATGAGCAGAATGCTATATAGATTTTTAAATTGTAAAATGATACATTTTTAATAAAAAGAAAAGCAGGTTATAAAATAGTATATTCAGTATGATCCTAATTTTGTATATAATATATGAAAACGTATAAAAGCATTAAAAAAACTGAAAGAGGGGGCCGGCCCGGTGGAGCAAGCAGTTAACTGCTTGCCCTCCGCTGTGGTTCGGCTCCCGGGTGCGCACCGCTGCACTGCTTGGCAAGCCATGCTGTGGCGGCGTCCCATATAAAGTGGAGGAAGATGGGTATGGATGTTAGCCCAGGGCCAGTCTCCCTCAGCAAAAAAAGAGGAGGATTGGCAGATGTTAGCACAGGGCTGATCTCCTCACACACACACACAAAAAAACTTAAAGAGTTTATGCCAAAATTTGTGCTCTTCTATATTTTCTAGATTTTTTCAATTAATTTATTATTTGAAATATACTTATTTGTGTAAGTATATAAAAAGAATATATGTATGTATATATACATACACGTGCATGTAAATATTTTAAGAATGTATTATAAAAGTAAATTATTTGATAACTGTTTGGAAATATCAATGTTCAGCTCCCACCTTTTCCCTATCTTCTGCCTGAAGATTATTCCAAATTTCATGCTTTGGGAAATGAGGTATATCAGCATCTTTAAAAGAGAAATGGATTTCATATACATAGATGACCTTGAAATGGAGACCTTAAGATCATTTGGGCTATTGTCCCTAGAAAGTCATGTTATTGATCTTGCTAAAACAGTCACAAATGTAATAATCTTTGGTACATGCCTCATAGGCTTCAGAAAATAAAAGTCAGGTTCTGTTCTATTCTAGCCTCAGACTCAGGTCTGAGAACGATATCATTGCTTCATTTTTCCCTGGAGACTCAGGGAACTTGAATGCTGGGTCCGGGAAAGGAGGGGAAAGCTCTGTGTTATCATCTGCCCCCCGCTTCAGGCTCCCGGAGAGAAAGGTGTGGGTACCGCGTAGTGCGGAGGCAGAGAAACTCCAACGAGCAGCTGCCCTGCCTGAGCAAAGCCAAGAAAAACTGTGGACACGTGAGCCGAGTGAAGGAGCTGCTGCTGAGCGCCCTGAGCCCCGAGCAGCTGGTGCTCACGCTCCTCGAGGCGGAGCCGCCCCACGTGCTCGTGAGCCGCCCCAGCTCGCCCTTCACCGAGTCCTCCATGATGATGTCCCTGACCAAGCTGGCCGACATGGAACTGGTGCACGTGATCGGCTGGGCCAAGAAAATTCCGGGTAGGGCTTTCTGGGTCTTAGCTTTCCATTTATTTGTAGAAAGGCCTGTCCCTAGCGTTTAAGGGGCAAGAGTACAAAATGGAGGTCCACAAACTGTCTCGGTATTTAACAGTTTGACGGCTTGACTTATGACTTTTAAATGAAACATATTCTTTCTTCCTGTCTTGACACAGTGTATACCTTCAACATGTCCTGGAAGGCCGGGTTCCATTTTAGAATTCTTGGACTCCTCTGAGTCCTGTACCAGACATGGCAGTACAAGAGGCATTGTATATGGTGGGGCCCGTTCTATTCTCAACTCTCTTCTTTTCCCACCCACAGATCCATGTCACACAGCCTTGCACACACCCCATCCTTCATGTCACATCTCCTACAGACACTAGGTCACCTCTCATGCCTGGTCTGGGAGGATGGACCAGGGAAGAGACCCATCCAGGCTCTGGAAATGGGCTTGGGGCATTTGGGCAGGACATTCTAGGGTCCTGGGACCTGGAATGTGGTCTAAAAGGAAGGGATCTGGACTCCACATTGACCTATTTCGTGGCCGTGGACTCCTCACCTGGAGAGAAGGGGTGTAGTGAGGTGAGGGTGGGGTGGGGTACACTATGACCAGGTATGAAAGTGAAAGGTTTGTCAGATGCTAAATAGGAGTTTGTAAAATACTGTTCCAATAGAGAAAGAACCAATAGTAGGTACATAAATGAATATACCTGGGCAAAAGAGGAAATCAGCAGCTAAAGTAACATCAATCATCAATAAACCTGAAATGCCATCAAGTTAAAAATGGGTTTGATTATTCAAGATGGTTATTTGGAACCTTCATTTTCCATCCTATGATGTGGTCACTTCCCCAGGCCAGTTTATAATATATACCAGAAGTAGTGCATTGTGCTAAAATTACCATCTAATTGGCATCTGAATTGGTGTTTCTGTGAAAGAGTGAATCTAGGATTCTAACAGAGAATGGCAGCAACCCGTCCTCCCCTGGAAAGGGCTTCTCTATGCACATCTTTACCATCGTCTAAGAAGTGAGGTCTCTCCCCATCTTCTGAGCCACTAGGGACGAGTCCCATGACCTGGGGGGCAGCAACTGTGTTAGGCAAACTGTGAAGATTGGGAGGGGCAAGAAGCTGGGTGAAGAGCAGTTGGGGGTAAAGATCTGTGGGAACCAAGGCCAAGGGTCGTAGTATCTCTTAGGGTCATTTGTTGGCTTCTGAGCTTCCTTAGGATATTCTGGTTTCTGGTTCTGTTTTGGTAATCTAGCATCCTCACCTTTGCCAGGACTGTACTGTGTCTTCTCTGCTCTTTCCCAGAGGAGACAATACTGACGCCCTTTCCTCTGGCTGTCACTCTATATGTATTCCAGACGCTGCTTTTCAGAAGCCCACATGCAGAGTGGGTACAGTCGATTATTGCTGAGACCTGTGCAGCCTCTTTGTGCCATAACAAAACTGAACTCTAAAGCTGCATTAGTCCCTCTTTAAACCTGGTATTTTGAAAATTTTTGGGAAAACTTAGGCATAGTCTGGAGGGGTGATTTTTTTCCCCCTCTCTCAGCTGATATAGTCATTGTCCAAACCAAAAAAATATTAAAATATCACCTAGCCTTGATCTTGTTGAATATCTGCAAGTATAAAAAGCTTCATCTCCCTTGGGTAGGCTTATTATCTATAACCGTGGGTGAGATTGGAATGTGTGCATATTTTAGGAACCTGAACTGAGCATAGGCTGTGGCTTTGGAAAGAATTTATCCACTCTTTCCATTCATTACTTCATTTAATTCTCCTTTGTGCAGATTTGCATTATAATTGTTCAAAGATTTGAACCCCTGCATTCTCTGTGCCACAGTTTCCTCATCTGTAAAATAAGGATGATGAGAGATCCTACCTGTAGGAAATTCTCAGAGGTAGGCGTTATTACGCCTATTTTTCCTGTAAGAAAACAAAGACTTAAAAGGAGATTAAGTAACTAGATAGGAAGAGGCTGAGCTGGGATTTTAATCAGAGTCCATTGCACTCCAAGGCTGTATGTTTGGTGACTATATTTATATTACACTGCCTCCTGCTTTTCTCATGGCTGGTGGAGGAAGTACCAGTGATCTCTGCTTTGCTTTGAACCACTCACCTCTCTAGAGATTACCTGTTTCTTTCCAGTTCTTTGCCAATGCATGCTATCAGGTTATCAGGATATGGGAACCTGCTTCAGTTGTCACATTTGCTCTTCAGGGTAGAGGAACCTGGAGACAGCGCTCCTGCTGAGAAGGGTGACTCTGACACTGGATGGGAAATTTTAAGCGATTGGAGAAATCCTTTCAGTTGAAGTCTTCACTTTCTGCACAGGATGGCCCTACTCTCTGCATACCACTCACCCCCCACCCCTCCCTACCCCATCCCCTCACTCCTCCCGGCCCCAATCATGGACTGGGCCAGATAAGGCAGCCCCTCTGGCTGGCAGCCGAGCATTATCTTAGCAGTGCAAAGGCATTATTAGGATATAACTAACAAAGATTGGCTCCAGCTTTCCGTTCTTCCCTAGCACCTGTCTGGGTGGTTGTATCAGCCCAGGTAACAGTCTTTTATAAATTCTAAATGAAGTATTTGTCTCTAGAAGGGGTCCAAGACCAGAAATTTTGGGTTGTACACTTTAAGTTCAAAATTTTCTTCCTGAGGTCAGCATTTAACCACATCTTTAAAATATTGATTGTTTCCCTATATTGTTTGTTTTTTAAAACTTGCTATTCTGTCTCTACAGAAACAGGGAGCTGAGGAAAGGGTGGGTGTGTCTCACGGCCTCTTGTTTTCCCCAGGCTTTGTGGAGCTCAGCCTGTTCGACCAAGTGCGGCTCTTGGAGAGCTGCTGGCTGGAGGTGCTGATGGTGGGCCTGATATGGCGCTCAATCGACCACCCCGGCAAGCTCATCTTCGCTCCAGACCTCGTTCTGGACAGGTGAGGAAAAAATGCCTTGTGTTTCTTCTCCAATACATTTAAGTGAGGAACTGAGTGAGTGGGAACAAAGTCCTGGGTGCTGCCATTAAAATCTCACACCTGAAGGGGCAATTTGAGGATGATAATGCCATGAGCTCCTTCATGGGGTCAAGCACCCAAGAAGGAGAGCATGGGTACCAGGATTCAGTGTCTGTGACTCATTCTTACCCATGGTGTGGCAGCATTCATAAGCCAGGCCGTAAGAGGAGCCTATGTCCTGCAGGGTATGTGGCCACAAAGTGTATCAACTTAGATTTTTCTGCATTAAAAATTCCATTTTCAGGTTATCATTTTAAGTTGTCCAGCTGTTCTTTCCACCTGTAGGGACCAATTACATCGCCAGCTATCTGGACAGGTGATAAAATGCTTACAAATCTGCCAAGTTTATTTTACCGTGCTTTAATTCACTCTAATTGCATGTACCATATAGCATTTTTGGCACGGGCGGTGGAATGAATCGTTATTAAACCAGATGAAGGTTAATGGAAATTTGGGAAATGCTGGTGTGAATGCCATAACTTGGTTGTATTTAGTTTTCTTTTAAAGATGGCACAGAAAAGGAAGCAACTTTTAATTGACTTACGTGAACTATTCATGGAGGGACAGCTGGAATATACAACACTCAAGCTTTTTAGTAGGAAAAGTGTTTAGTAGAAATCTTTCTTGGTGTAAATTTGAGCAGTTTGAAAATCTCCATGGAAATTGAATTCCACGTACCTTATTTTGAAAAAGTTCTAGTGTTGAATGTTCAGTCACATTTGACTCTGTGCACAGAGAAGAAGGATGCGTAGTGCTATGAATGGAAAGTATCTGCCCCCAACTCTTGGTATAACCTCTTTATGTCATCAGAATATCCCTATGCACACATTACGCAGATGAAAAGTGATGCCCCACGGTATTAGCGTCCATTCTGCCTGTTGTTGTGGATGCTGATATTGACAAAGAGGACTGGTCTGTCACGGAGGTGTTTTGGTGGAGAACAGAGCCTTTGGGAAGAGCTGGAGCATGGGATGTGGCTCCAGCATGAGCAAGCCCAGGTAGTAAACCACAGAGGGAGGTTCTGGAAGCCTAGGACAGGTAGGACCCTTCAGTAACAATTGAAATAGCTAACTTATTGGCTTGTATGTGCCAGGTACCATCTTCAGCATTTGATGTGTGTTAACTCACTTCATCTTCAAAACAGCCCTTTTTGGGTACAAAAAGGAAAGTACCTCAACATAATAAAGACCATATATGAGAAACCCACAGCTAATATCATCCTCAATGGTGAAAAACTGAAAGCTATCCCTCTAAGAACAGG